CTCAGAGGAAGTCGGGAGACTCTAGAGACAACAGCCACAGCCACGGCACAGGAAAGGTGCTGTCCCATGCTCGGGAGATCCCAGGGGAAATCAGCTATTTGTCCTCCCAATCTGAGGACAAGGACGGACTTCCCCCACTCATGTCTCTAGTCCCTAGGGAAGAGGCCAGGGGAGCGAGGGAGTTGTACTTAGAGCTGGGGACCTGGGCTGCCCACCAGGGTCCAACAACCCTGCTATGAGAACAGTGTCTACCCCCTTTAACCCCGAACCTGAAGTCCCCCAACACACCTCATCTGCATCTCCCTCTGCCAGCCCCCGATCCTGGGATTCAATGTCCCCCAAGGCAGCTGGGGGGCATTTGGAGTGGGCTCAAGTTAAAATGGTTTCAGCCATCCATGTATCCACTCAAGCAACATTCCAGGGGCACCTATGGAATAAAGACTCTGCCAGCAGCCCGGGGAAAACCAGAGAGAACAGGACCCCAGCCTGCCTTTGAGGATGAACAAGCTGGGGTGCTATAATTGGAGCCTGCCCCCCACCTCAACTGAAGGGACTCACTGATGATGGCTGCGGGTCTCCGGGAAGCCCAGGGAGACCCTGGGGTGAAGTTACACAACTTTGGGGACCCATGCAGCTCCACCCCTAGTCCTGCCTTCAGATAAGGGCCTGAAAAAAAACCAGGGCAGGACGAGACAGGGAAGCAGCCCTGGGGCGCGAGCGCTGTCCATGGTACTGGGGTCCCGCGGCTGCTTCCAATCGCGCTAGGAAACATCCAGCCGCCCGGAAGGCGGGACCTGAATGGGGTCAGAAGAGAAGGGGTGAGGACCCTCCAGCCTTCCCAGTCAGCTCAGGGATTCAAGGGCTTCCCTGGAGGAGCAAGGCCCTTTTCAGAGACGCCCGCTTCCCGCCCTGCTTCCCATGGGCTCCCGAGGCCCCTATCACCGCCTAGGGCCTGCACCAGCTCTCCGGGCCTCCCGGAGCCCTGAACCGCAGCGGTCCAGCCTGACCCCTGCCGTCCCCTGGGGCTGCCTCCTCAGCCCAGCAGGCAGGCCCGGTGTGCTGGGAGGCGGGCGCCAGGTGAGCCACCGTCTCCCCACCCCCATCCCTGTCTGGAGCCAGCAGGGAGACCACAGTGGGGCTGGGCGGGACCGGGACTCTGGCCGAGACCTGGAGGGCAAGGGTTCAGGGCCCCTGCCAGCTCCGCCTTCGCGGGCTCCCTCCTGCGCCCGGAGCCCACCTGTGGCCGCGTCCCGAGTCCGGCCCCTGCACCGGGGCTGTCACTCCCCCAGCTTCCTCACTGACCAGCTACCCAGGGGGTGACACTCTGGCCCCGCCGAGCGTCCACCAGGCAGCACCCCCTCCCCACCCCACTGCGGGCCGGCTCTGCGGGTGCCTGGGAGGAGAGGGGGCTGCCCCGGCACCGCTGGGCCCTGGGGGCCCCTGGCTGGGTCCAGTGAGTCCTGTGCGGCCCCAACCCTGCCTGGCCTGGGCCCCCAGGTGCTGGCCGCCCGAAGCATGTCGCCTTCGCCTCCGCCCGCCCGCCACGCTCCGCCGCAGCCCCGGCTCCAGCCGCCCCATAGCCTCGCAGCGCCGCCCCTACCCCCGCCTCTCCGACGCCTGCGATCGGGGGCGAATCCGGGATGAGCAGGTCCTCGGTCTAATCTCGGGACCCTCTCGTCGGAGCCAGGCCCAAGCACCGTGGGGAGGAGAGCAGTGCCACCAAAGGCGGGGGAAAGGGTGGCACAGGCGGAGGGGTTGGGTGTAGCCGACCTAGGGGCAGACAGGAGGGACGGGAGGGACCAGAGGGGGAGCTCCTGGGCGCCGCTCACTAACTTTGCCGCCCGGATGGGACCGTCCGCCGGGTGAGGAAGGACCCCGAGGGGCTAGGAAGGGGCGGGCAGGCTGGGGCGACTTTCTGGGCCCAGGACCACCACCTGGGGGTTTTCTGCCCCCATTCTTACCTCTGCATCCCGAGTCCTCTCCAACCCTGCCCAACTCGGGACAGGTCCCCGAATACCACACCCCTCCCCACCCACACCCCGCACCCCAACCCCATCCGTTTCCCCAGCCCAGGCCCACTGGTCATCACCAGGGGTTGAAGCATGAACCTCCCCTTCTGCCGCCGGGACTTGCACGCTCGCAGGAACCGACCTCGCCCACCTCCATCCTGCGCCCCCCGGGGAAAAGACCAACCAGGAGGGAACTTTACCGAAAGGGTCTCAGGGTGACCAGGCATCTTCTGACCATTATCTTCCCATCGGGGTTGACGGTGATCATTGTTCAAACTTGTTGGTGCGAGCAGCCGCGGGCGAGGCCGGACGCACCGTCCTGGGCCCAGTTCTCGCCGCTTCCGGGCCACGAACCCTCTGCGGGCCGAAGCAGCGTCCGAGCGAAGCTGGGAGCGCGCGGCTCGGTGGCCTCGCTGCTCGGGCCTGGGAGGGCAGCGGAGGGAGCGGCGCGGCTGCCGGAGGGCGGTGAGGGCGCCCGGCCGGGCCGTCTCTGCGTCTCCGCCCTCCCCGCTTCACATTTTGGGGGCCGGGAGGCGGCGCGCCCCCAGACCGCCGGCCACGCGTCTGCCTGCTTGGGCTCGCTCGCTGGGCGGGACGGTGCCGCGGCGCGCAGACGGGCTCCCCGCGGCGGGCACCCTCATCCCCGGCCCCGCGCCCTCGGTGCCAGCTAGAGGCGGCCCCGGGCCCGCGCCCGGGACCCCAGCGCCTCCGGGCCGCGCCGATCCTCGGCCCCGCGCCGCGCCGCGCCCATGGCTCTCGACTAGGGCAACCCGCGCCCGCAGCCCGCCCGCTGGCTCCGCCGCCCGCGCTCTGGTGTCCGGCGTCCGGCCGCGCGCCGCGCTACGCCCGGAGGCGCCGCATTGTTCCTCGGAGGAGGCGGCTGAGCGGCGCTGGGGCGGCCCGGGAGCGGCCGCTGCGCTTCCAAGGCGCGCCGGCGCCACCTCGTGGCCGCAGCCCCGCTGTCCACCCTGCCCGGGGCCGTGCGGGGCTGGGACGCCGAGGACCCGCTTCGAGGACCGGCGGGCGGGGGTCCCTGCTCCTTCCCCTGAGCCAAGCTACTTCCCAGGGCGCCACCAGCCCCGAGGGCCGAAAGCTGCTTTGGCTCCCGCAGAGCACAGAAGAGATGCGCACCCAGCGGAGACCTTTCTCTTCCGCCAGGTGCCTCCACGGGCTTCCTCACCAGCCGCTTCCTACCGATCGGATTTCGCTTGGCAACACACGCCCATCTTCTGCCCCTCCCTGATCAGAAACTCCCGTGGCTCCTCTTTGCTTACTGATCTGAGTATAAACTCAGCCTGTGGTGTGGGGCCCGATCACAGAGCCAAGTGCAGGGGCGTACTGAGTTCTAGCCCCAGATCCTCCACTAGTCAGTGGGCGATCAAGTGTGCACGTCTCAGTCTCCATTATGATAGTGACCAGAAGCTCACCAAGGCCCCTTGCAACCCTAAAGCATGTAGCATCTCATGTCATCTCTTAGCATCTAGGCGTCCTCCCCTCCTCCTCTTCGCGCTTCCTGGCTTTGGAGATGTGTTTGCAGTTGCAGAGATAGACAGAGGCTCCTGGGAGCTCGCAGAGCCAGCCTGAAGAAAGCTCTCCCGCTTCAAAAGCACTTCCCGAGGTCAGACCTAACCACTCCACCCTGGGAAGTGCCCAAAGCCTCGGTCATACGTCAAATGACTCTGAGGGTCTTCCCAGCTCAGGCCACCATGCTGCAGCCTGGCTTATGCGAGGAGGAGACTTTATTTTCCTCCAGCTGCGCCTGGTCCCCTCCAATCCGCTACACCCAGGTCCCTTGCTGCCTGCCCTGCCCACCTCCCGGCCCCCTTCCTGGGCCATTTCTCACTGGCCGTGACAGGCTCTCTGCTTTTCCTCCTCCTTCATCAAAATGTACCTGTCCCGAGTTCCATTATCTCACTGCCTTGCTCTCTGCTAATGTGAAAATGGGTGATAAATTGGTGTTAGCAGATATACTGTGTTACACAGGTTAGGTAACAAATTTGCATTGAACAAGGACATGCTGACCGTGCCTTTGTGCAGAAGAGTGATGAATGGTGGCAGGAAATTTAGGCATCGTGGCAGGCTGGCTAAGGAGATACTGGAGGGCAGAGGTCTCTGCCAGGCCTCTAAATCATACCTCATGCCTGGGTGCCTACATCTGCCACAAACTGGCAATAAGCCATATGTACACTAAGGAATGAAATGGTCCTTCTGATTAGGTGTCTCTCTCATGTAAGCTCAGGGGGTGGCATTTATATCTGGTTGCCATTTTAGGCCAAAGGGGAAGCCTCTTGCTGAGTGGTGGAGATGGGGTTCCCTAGAAGACGTGGCCACCTCTGGCGTGGGTCTTCTGGGGAGGTGGCCTACCCTCCACAGAAGCCAGAATTCAGAAGGTAGGGGAGGGTACTCCCCTCTTCCTCTGGGCCACACTCCCTTAGATATGGACTTTGAGGTTGGAGTGGGAGAGCCTGTCTGCCATTTGATGGCTGGCTTGGGCCAGGGAGGGAAGCAAGCAGAGGACAGCCAGTGACTTTTTTTTTTTTTTTTTTTTTTTTTTGAGATGGAGGCTCTCTCTGTTGCCCAGGCTGAAGTGCAGTGGTGCGATCTCGGCTTACTGCAACCTCTGCCTCCTGGGTTCAAGCGATTCTTCTGCCTCAGCCTCCTGAGTAGCTGAGATTACAAGCACGTGCCAGATACCTGTAATAAAGGCCTATAAAAATGCACCATTTTTGTATTTTTTAGTAGAGACGGGTTTCGCCATGTTGGCCAGGCTGCTCTCAAACTCCTGACCTCAAGTGACCCTCCTGCCTCGGCCTCCCAAAGTGCTGGTATTACAGGCATGGGCCACCGTGCCAGGCCAGCCAGTGACATTTTGCAAGCCAGATTGTCCAGCTGCCTGTCCCTTTTGAAGTCTGTCCCCTTTTTTTTGGCCTCTTGTCTGCAGTACAGTTCAGTGTAAACAGTCCTGCTTGCTCTCCACTGTGCTGTAGGCATTAGGAGAAAAACTGTGGATCCCGCATCGTGCAGTCTTGGATCCAACCTCTTCATACCTTGGTTTCCTCAACTATAAATCGGGCTCCTTGTAACCTGCTGCATAGAGCTTTTCTGAGGATTGAGCCGCTTAATGCAGGTAAGTAGCCCATTGCCAGGACCTCCTGAGCCCTTAAGCATAGTAGTTCTGATTGTTGTTACTGTCTATCAGGAACAGATGCTGTTTGTGCCCCACCCTGGTTCCTGCTGCAGTCACCTCTGCAAGCAAAGAGGCAGATTACTGAGAACACCTTCAACTCTCTGCCTGAGGACTTTTTTTTAATGGCTGTGGGAATATTCTAGAACATAAAAGGGCAAGCACAAAGGACCCTGGACAAAGGATCAACAACTGGGAAGCAGCCCTGAAGCAGTGGATAGACACCCCCACTCCCTCTCCCTCAGGGTGATAATCCGTGGTGTGTTACCCTGTGGCTCCACGGGTTCCCAGCAAGTTTGAGCTCCAGTCGCCCATGATGTGACCAGCCTTGTGATGCCCCTGTGCTCACTCCCTTCCCTCCTGTCTCATTCCACTCCCCGGTCAATGTTCCTGGGGTCACCATCCAAATAAACCACTTACAGAATCCTATTCTCAGCATCTGTTTCTGGGGGACTCATATCAAGATCCCAAGATCCTGCCTCATCGACTGGTGGTTCTCAGCCCGGATTCCAGCAGAATCACCTGCAGAATTTAGCAAAATTGTCCTTATTCTGATCCAGTACTTGAGGTGTGGCCTGGGCACGCCGGTGTTTTAATGCCACAGGTTATGCCGACACAGGCCCGGGTGGGAAAGCGCTGTTCTGTACAAATACTTGTGGCCTCCTGAGGAGGAAGGAGAGTCTCTGGAAGCAAGCCAGGGGAGAACAGGGGAGTAGGAACCGCAGCACCTGCTTCAAGGCCTGGCCAAGGACTGATGGTGGGCCAGGCGCCGTGGCTCACACCTGTAATCCCAGCACTTTGGGAGGCTAAGGCAGGAGGAATGCTTAAGCCAAGAGCTTGAGACAACCAGCCTGAGCAACATAGTGAGACCCCATCTCTACCAAAACCTTTAAAACTTACCCAGGTGTGGTGGCATGCACCTGGAGTCCCAGCTACTCGGGAAGCTGAGGCAGGAGGATTGCTTGAGCCCAGGAGATCAAGGCTGCAGTGAGCTATGAGCGCACCACTGCACTCCAGCCTGTGTGACAGTGCGATGCCCTGTCTCTTATAAAATAATAAATAAATAAGGACTGACATCAGATGTACCCGTTTCCAAACCCCATCCCTTTTCATCGTTTCTCTCCTGAAGCTATCAACAGGCCCACCACCAGCCAGTGCAAGGCTAGGAGGCACATTCACCCAGGTGCCCTAAATAGAGCACTTCCTAGCCAGGCGTGGTGGCTCACGCCTGTAATCTCAGCACTTTGGGAAGCCAAGGTGGGTGGATCACAAGGTCAGGCATTCGAGACCAGCCTTGCCAACACAGTGAAACCCCCAACTCTACTAAAAATACAAAAAATTAGCTGGGCCTGGTGGCGGGTGACTGTAATCCCAGCTACTCAGGAGGCTGAGGCAGGAGAATTGCTTGAACCTGGGAGGTGGAGGTTACAGTGAGCTGAGATCACACCACAGCACTCCAACCTGGGTCACAGTGCAAGACTCAGTCTCAAAAAAAAAAAAAAAAAAATAGCTGGGTGCAGTGGCTCACGCCTATAATCCCAGCACTTTAGGAGACTGAGGCAGGCAGATCATGAGGCCAGGAATTCAAGACTAGCCTGACCAACGTGGTGAAACCCTGTCTCTACTAATAATACAGTAATCCCAGCTACTCAGGAGGCTGAGGCAGGAGAATCACTTGAACCTGGGAGGTGGAGGTTGCAGTGAGCCGAGATTGTGCTACTGCACTCCAGCCTGGGCAACGGTGCAAGACTCCGTCTCAAAAAAAAAAGCATTTCCAGCCCCTCCCCCTGCCCTTGGGTCCTGCTGGCCTGGTTGGAGGGGTCAGAAGAAGCCCACAGTTGTCGGAAAGCCCTGGCCAGGCAGTGGAGGCCTGTGTCCAAACAGGCAGAGGACTCCGGGGAAGGGATTGGGGTGCGGCAGGGTAAGTCCTGCCATTCAGGAGTCCAAACTCAATATACTGAGAGGGTGGGCCAGGAAACAAGGGGAGTGGGGTGTTTCCCAGACAATCACAACAAACCACCACAACCTGCGTGGCTCAAGGCAACCGGAATTTATTTCTTCACATTCACCCTGCTCAAGGGGAGGGGCTGGAAGTGCTGTATTCAGGGCACCTGGGCGAATGTGCACCCTGCTCTGCATTTGACTGATTGTGGATCTGTTGATAGCCTCAAGAAACAGTGAAGAGGGAAGGGGTTTGGCAACAGGGACACCTGATGCCAGTCCTTGTTTATCTATTTATTTTATAAGAAAGAGGGCATCGCTCCGTCACACAGGCTGGAGTGTGGTGCTGCACTCATAGCTCACTGCAGCCTCGATCTCCTGGGCTCCACCAATCCTCCTGCCTCAGCTTCCTGAAGGCCAGAAGTCTGAAATCAAGGTGTTGATAGGGTCCGTTTCTTCCAGGCTCTAAGAGATAAACCACCCCATGCTTTTCTCCCAGCTGCTGGTAGCCCAGGCAGCCCTTGGCTTGTAGCTACATCACTCCAGTCTCTGCCTTATCTCCATCTGGCCTTTTCCGGGTGTATCTCTGTGTGCCTGAATATCCCTTCTCTGGTAAGGACACTACTCATTGATTTAGGACCCACCCTAATCCTACAGGACCTCATCTTAACTAGTTAAATCTGCAAAGACTCTAGTTCCCAATAAGGTCAGAGTCTGAGGTTCTGGGAGGACATGGATCGGGGGAGACACTGTTTAACGCACTACAGGGACCTAGTTCAAATGACCAGCATGGTGAAAGTCCGTCAAGGGCTGCACCCCCAAAGGGGACATGCTGCCATCGTGTTTGTGTGACTGTGGGCCCAGTTATTTCAAGAGAAGCCAGAAATCTGGACTTCTGTGAAGTCGCATAATTTTAAAATGTAGGCTCAGTATTTTTAGAATATTGTGCAAGACCAATAAAATCCACTGGAAGGCCTGCCATCTGGGCCCCCTGCGGGTGTCACTGGAGGGCAGAGCAGTGAGCCCACCAGCTCCCCGACCTGGCAAGTCCAGCTTCCCTGAACTACCCCACCACCCTCAAGCCTCAGGCCAAGCTGCCCAGACACCTCTCTGCCCCAGGGAGGAAAATCAACTCTCCTACGTGCACTCTGGGGGTGGGAAGGCTAGGTTGCTTCCTAGGGACCCCTGGACCCCCTCACTGGTCCTGCTGGAGCCTCACTGGGCATCAGAGCCTCGACTGCCACTCTTACCTTCTCAGGGCTTCAAGGTTGTTCCTGGAGCTCACAGACGGGGCCTGGGGTATGCAGAGGGAGAAGAGAAACAAGCCGTTTACCATGTTTGAAATCCCCATTTAATGTGATCCGACTGCAGCAGCACACAGCGCATTACGAGGCAATAGGCCATTGTCCTTTGCCAGAGTGTGCAGCATTAATAATGACATAACAGCATTTACTGACACTGCGTACAAATCAGCAACAGCGGCACTGTGCGAGGACAACTGGCCCGCACACGCCAGCCACCACGAGTGCAGAGGCCACGAGGTAGGGAGAGTTGCTTCTCCAATGCGTATTTTATGCTTTCTGTTTCGCAACATTTGGCTAATCCTCTGATTGAAAGGCAGCATCTAGGATTTATTTTTATTTATGACAGAAGGCCATTCTACCGCACAGCTTGTGGGAGCTGGGAGCAGAGCTATTGTACTTGCCCTGCTCTGCAGGAAAGGTAACCACTGTGTCTGGGGTGTGTGTGGCCAGCCAAGCAGGCACAAACCAGACAGGCAGCCCTCCCCCTCCATATAGGCCCCATCCCAGTGCTGGAAACACAGGTGAACGCTTTATCATGATCAGGAGATTCCATTTATTGAGCATCTACTATATGCCAGTGATACGGTTTGGCTCTGTGTCCCCACCCAAATCTCATCTGGAATTGTAATCCCCATAATTCTCACGTGTTGAGGGAGGAGCCCTGTGGGAGGTGATTGGATCATGGAGGTAGTTTCCCCCATGCTGTTTTCAAGATAGCGAGTTCATTCTCAGGAGGTCTGATGGTTTTATAAGGGGCTCTTCCACTTCATTCCTCACTCTTCTCTCTGCTGCCACCTTGTGAAAAAGAAGGCTGCTTCCCCTTCCACCCTAATTGTAAGTTTCCTGAGGCCTCCCCAGCCACAAGGAACTGTGAGTCAATTAAATTTCTTTCCTTCATGAATTACCCAGTCTCAGGTAGTATCTTTATATCAGTGTGAAAACAGACTCATACAGCCAGGAAATGAACCAGGGACTCTAAATGTGTTACCATGTTCACGTTGTTATTTAGATTTGCTTTAGCAGGGCAACTTTTTTTTTTAATGACCCTGATATGGTTTGGATTTGTGTCCCCACTCAAATCTCACGTCAAATTGTAATCCCCACTGTTGGAGGAGGAGCCTGGTGGGAGGTGACTGGATCAGGTGGCAGATTTCCCCCTTGCTGATAGTGAGTGAGTTCTCACAAGATTCAGTTGTTTAAAAGTATGTAGCACCTCCCCCCACCTTCCTCCTGCTCCTGCCATGAAGCCACACCTGCTTCCACTTTGCCTTCCATCGTGATTGTAAGTTTCCTGTGATTGTAAGTTTCCTGAGGCCTCCCCAGTCATCCTTCCTGTACAGTCTGTGGAATCGTGAGCCAATTAAACCTCTTTTCTTTATAAATTACTCAATCCATTCTCACATTGCTATAAAGAAACACTGGAGACTAATACAGACCCCCTTTCTTTCTGAACAGTTTCTCTGGTTGCATCACAGATCACTGCAGAAATATGGGATCAGCAGAATCAGCCCCCAAAGATGTCCACCTCTTAATCCCCAGAACCTGGGAGAATTAGGTTGCTAATCAACTGAGTTTAAAATGCAGAGATGAGGTCAGGCGTGGTGGCTCACGCCTGTCATCCCAACACTTTGGGAGGCTGAGGTTGGCGGATCACCTGAGGTCAGGAGTTCAAGACCAGCCTGGTCAACATGGAGAAACCCATCTCTACTAAAAATACAAAAATTAGCCAGGCATGGTAGCACACACCTATAATCCCAGCTACTTGGGAGACTGAGGCAGGAGAATTGCTTGAACCCAGGAGGCGGAGGTTGCAGTGAGCTGAGATCATGCCATTGCACTCCAGCCTGGGCAAGAGCGAAACTCCGTCTCAAAAAAAAAAAAAAAAAAAAAGCAGAGATTATCCTAGATTATCTGGTTGGGTCTGCATCCGAACTCAGGTTTAGCTGCTTGCCACCCAAAAGCCAGACATGAGCAGTAAGGTTGGAGGGAGGAAAAGCAGGTTTATTCAAGAAGCCAGCAAAACCAGGAAGATGGTGAACAAGTGTTCGAAGGTAACAGCTCCAATTTTTTAGGCTGGCCAGAGAGTTTTTATGGGAGGGGGATATGGGGAAGAGGAGAGTGTTGGAATCTAGAGGTGATGAAAGACCACAGACATCCGGACATCAGTGAGGGTGAGAAGAGGTT